TTGAGTTTCTTTGTCACAGCAATTCAGCCTTACCCTAACTGATATGCCATCTTGGCATTACATATTTTTTAAAATCAGTGATGTCTTCTGTTAAAAAAAATAATGGAACCCCACCAGCATACCCCCAGGCAATGAGTAGCGCACTGAGTCTCTCCACTCTTGTCCATGTTGAACTTGCCTAATCTGTGGACTAGATTCAATGCCTGATACGAGAACCTGGAAAAGCAGTCTGGATTGGAAACCGAAACAGCATGAACTCTATGCATGAGGTATAAGAATTAATTTATACCAGCCAGTGAGATGCCTTCTAAAGAGCCCAAACTTTGGCAACCAACTTCAGATCCCCAGAAGCAGGTGTGACGGTCACTTCCTGGTGACTTCATTGCAGTACGTGCAGGAATCCAAAGACTCCCTGAACTTCCCTGGGGTTCCCAATTTTGACAGAGCTGCCCGGCAAAACAATGCACCAACCCATCTTGTCACTGGACTCTGGGTGCATCTGCCCGAAGGTCACAGCACTGCATTCATGCTCCACTAGCTTAGGCAGTGCTGCAGAAAGTGGAGCATACAGTGCTCCCCCTAAGTTCAGGGCAGAAGTGTTTCCTAATAGGAAAGGAGAGAAATAGCAGATAAGAAAAAAGGCCACGAGCTTAAGGAAAATGCTCTGGTTTTGGACTCAGATGGACATGGATTCCAATCCTGACTCTCCCACTTGCTTATCAACTCACTTCCCATTTGGACTCGGTTTCCTAGAGAATACAATTCCTATTCCTACCTCATATCCAGGTATTGAGGACTGAGGCAGCAATTGGAACATACGTTGAATGTACCAGCCAGGAAGGAGCTCAGTAAAAACTGCAAAACAAAATCCACACGGAGCCTGCCTCCAGATGAGGAAGTGGGCAGGCCTCCCCCTCCCACAGGTCACCATGAAGGGAGCGTGGCCTGCCAGCTGGCCCCAAGTTCTCTAAGTTGTCAGAGACAGGCTTCTGTGGGTGCCGCTGTGGGACAGGAGGACGTGCTCACTGACCACATCCCAGCTGTTCTGTAGCTGTGGCTGCCCAAACCCTGCAACGATCCCCGTGTCTCAACCACCCAGCAAATCACTCAGCCAAAGCCCCAAGGGAAGTCATGTTCCAATCACCCTATTCTGTTGCCCAAATCCAAGAGATAAAGATGAACAGACATGATTTTGCTTTCTATCCCTGCAGCTGACAGTTGACTTATTTAATGAACAAACCCCACAGAACTAGAGTCGGCTTCCTACCTCGATGGTAGTCCTTACCACGTGATGGAAAGTGAAGGCCTGTGGGAAAAGAGGCTGCAGAGAAGCATAACAAGCTAATTATTATCATGAGCATCAGGTTTTTAACTTAGACATACACACACACTACCAGATATGGAACATTGGGTGATTCTTCACACCTCGCTTGGGGTTCCCTCTCATGCTGAGACCATGGTGCTGGGTCCAATCATCATCTACCTCTCCCTCACTGTGCTCCCCTCCTGATTTTCCAGCCTCTGTAATGAGCATCATCAACGGGGGTGGGGGGGATCATCTCAGCTCTTCAGGGAATTAGATACTCCTGCTGAGTTTGCAGATTGTCCCATTTCTGCATTTAGATTCTCCAACAGCCTCCGACTTCCCAATGTGCTCTTAGCATTCCAGGTCACACTCTTGCTAATAAATACTATGTCATGATTAACAAACTTCCAGCTGGGCTTCTGCCTCCTCACTGTTCAAAGCATCTTCCATTCACCCACTTACAGTGGCGCTCCACCCACGTAATTCCTCTGCTTGGGAGCCTTCAGTGGATCCCTCTGGCTCATTCTGCAGCCAAAGCGCTCCACGGTATGGCCCTATGTCTGAAATTTGTTTAATGTATTTGCTGCTTCAACATCTGTTTTCATCTGACATAAACTGTTCGAAAGCCAAGTGTGCCTTGCCACCTCTGGCTTGGTTAAACTCCCCTCCCAGTGTGGTTTTTTGCCGCGTAGTCCATGTATTCCTCATTCCCTAACCCCAAACCCACAGCTGCTGGACACAGTTACATCTAGTGCTCAGTGTCAGAGGCCACTTCACACGTCCTCCTTTACCAAATGCAACCCGCCCCAAAGCCTACCGGAGAACACTGGGGCCCTTGATAAAGTCCTCTCTCTCTCTCTCTCTCTCTCTCTCTCTCTCTCTCTCTCTCAGCCTCCACCCACTGGATGAGCTCCCCACTGCTTTCAGCCTCCCTCCTGACTTCTCTGGGATTTTTAAGTCACCAAGTTCTTCTGCCTCAAGCATTTTTGGGTCACCTCCTCATGGAATCTCACCCGAACAGTGCATTTGAACTTGACTTTCCCCCGTCAGGCTTCTCGTAGGGTGGCTGTCTTGCTTCATGGGCACTGCTTTTTATTATTATTCGTATTGGTATGAGTCCATGTTTGCAGTACCTAATGATTCCATTCCTTGTGGACAGTTGGTACCAAACATGTCTTAGTTTTTTCCATCCCCTTCCCACCCCTCCATCTCATTCCCTTTCATCAAAGATCTATCTCCCTGTGTCCTATGATCCACCTTTTACTTTGCTCTACATGTATATTTTGGGTTTCTCATACTTAAGCTTGTGTGTCTGATTTATTTCACTTAACATAATGGTCTCAAGGTACATCTGTTTTCCCACAAATGACTCAAGTTTATCCTTCTTAATGGCAGAGTAGTACTCCATTGTGTGTAAATACCACATTTGCTTTATCCATTCTGCTGTAGATGGACATATAGGCTGCTTCCAATATTTACCTTTTATGAGTTGTGCTGCTACAAACATGGATATGCATGTTATCACTTTGATATGATGTCTCCAACTCTTTGGGGTAGATATCTACAAGAGGACTAACTGGGGCCAGTGGAATTTCTAGATGTAATTTTTGAGGAGTCTCCACCCTGATTTTTTGGCCACTCTTGATAAGGAGGCCTTAAGACCCCATTAGAAAGAAACCATACAATCAGAATGACCACGCGCTGCCCTCTCTTCTCCATCACTAATCCCCTCTCCCGTCCAGTTCCAACTGGACTCCTGCCTTACACGCCCCCTATGCTCCGTGCATGGATGCTCCAGCTGCTTCCCTCTCATCTGAACCCTCCAATCCAACCCGCCCACCGAGACCATCTCAGTGATAGGTGTCCATAAACACTTTCCATCCATGTCCTCAGTCCCCGGATGATGAGCTCCCTCTCCCTCGCAGGGTGGGTTCCAGCACCAGCCTCCTGGAAGGAAAGCCGGAGACTGACTTGCTTACAGGAGCGTGTGCACACGGAGCTGCGCCGCCCCTGCCCCTCCCCCAGCCACAGAGGGCGCAGTTCTCTTCCCTCCCAGTTCCACACCAGGAAGCCGCCCCTGGTCCCACTGGAGCCTCGAGTGAAAGTCGGCCCCTCCTCCTCCCTCGGGCACCAGACAACTCCGGGCCTGCTGCCCCTAGAAGCTGCCCTTTCACTTGTGAGCCTGACTTATCCGATATACCGGGCAGGGCACCCGGTCTGGGGACAGTGCCCAGTGCCAGCTCCCTCGCACACCCTCTCTCGTCAGCGGGGAGAAATCTTTCATCCGCTTCTCCTTGAGGCCACTTTGTGAAGATGCGATCTTGCCCAGCAGGTGCCCCAGCCATCTGCAATAGCCAGACAACAAGTGACGTCCCATTCAGCGTCCCCCAGGAGTGGTACCCAGCGGGATGAGGTGTGCCCAGGCTCTCCACCACCGGGCAGGAAGGGACAGGTGGCCAAGAAGAGGCGGAAGCCCTGGCTGTGTTTGTTTGCCTCTATCAACGCGGGGCCGGTTTTTAATTTTCCCCTCGGCAACTCTCCACACCGGCCAAGAGAGAAACTAATACGTTATTAGTCTCGTGGTGCTGTAGACGTTTACTTCCTCACCCTTGTTTTTTAATGGCCTTGCTGAACCCGGCTGGGCCTGTTTCCTGCTCAGACTCTGAAGGAATTCGGGCTTTTTGCAGGGAAGAAAGACAAGGATCCCCCAGGGTTTTATATTAGGAATGTTTCTAGATTGTTGGTTGCAGGCATATACACTTGTTAATTTGCACCCTAAACACACCCCATGACCTCATTTAAATCTGAGTGTTCGTGCGTGTATTCCGAGGGCTTGTGCATAGTTCCAACTTAATCAAGTACTTAATGGGGAGCCTTAGTATTCGTTGTCTTGTCCGTGGGCATCTATGCTCATCAAGGCAATAGCTCCTGGCTGTGTCCAGCGCTCCACGGTTTCACTGAGCATTGCCTGTCCCCATCCAGGGAGTGGACTGTTTGTCCCCCAAGGCGACAAAACCTTGCAGGGCACTTTCCAAAAGCTCCATTTGAAAAAGACATGTTTCTACTTATAGATCTTTTGGAAATGCCAGGCATTTCCAATTTAGAAGAGCTGTAAGGAAGCTGAGCGACAAGCCTACTGCGTGCCAGACACCGCGTTGGGCTGAGGGAGGCAGTGATGACCTGGGAGTCCTGGCTACAGCCCCCCCCCCCCGCCCCGGACTACAGTGTGATTCGGAGGACAGGTCGGGAAGGGAGGCCCAGTGCAGAATTACAGGCTGAGATCAGCGCCAGCAGGCGGGGCTTGAGATTCAGGATTCCACCCTGAAGGGAGGTTTCCCTAAAGAAGGCTAAAGTGAAAGATGAAGAGGGAAGAAACTGGCTATTCACCAGATGTTAGAGCCGGAACACACGCGCGCGCGCACACACAGAATTTGTAGTACAACTCCTCTGTTTATAGACAAGGAAACTGAGGCCTGGCAGAGCTAGAAGACTTGTGCGAGGTCAGAGCTAATTATAGAAACCAGCCCTGCCCTACCCAACCCCTTTCTGCTAAATCACATGGATTTTATTTATATCTCAGTTATAGATTATCCAAATACAGTTGGCCAATAAAACGCAGAATATTGAGTTTTTAAAACCACATCCCTCAAGACCATAGGCATAAATAACGATCGTGTTTTACTGCGGGTGATACCTTTTCATTTGGCAAATCCAGAAGACTTCGCATCAAATCAAAATTCGAGACAGTTTGTTCGGGAAGAACGGGAAGGTCATCGCCCCATCCGAGGTGCGCCCGCAGCCCCAGCCTCGCCGAGCTAATCTGGGCGTGAGCCGTGCCCAGGCTGACATCACGCCCGGCCAGGCGACTCTGCTGTTCCTCGGAGAGGTCCAGCCCTGGGTTCCAGCAGCCCGGGGCTCGCTGAGGCCGGTCATTCGTGTGAAAAGCCGGTGAGGCGCCGTCCGCGGCCGGCCCGGAGAGGAGCGCGGTGGGACCTGGGTTGGGGCTGGGCTCGGGCGCGGAGGGGCGGTCTCCGTCCCTCCCCAGACGCTCCGAAGCTGTGTAAAATGGGGCGCGAGGGTGCATTCGTGCGCTACTGGTGTTATACACATGCACACATTCGGTCTTTTTTCCCCGAAAGATGCTTAAAAGTAAAATCTCGATCGGACAAAGGTGCTTTGCAGCAGGGCGCCCCTCCCAGATGGAAGCAGCCTTCTCGGGACACCTGGACAACTTGCCCGGACCTCCCCGGGCCTGAGGTGGGACGCGCGCCCCCGCCGCACTCCCGCGGAGCCGCACAGCCGGGCTCTTCCGCGTCCCCTCGCCGGCGAGCGCCCCGCGCCCGAGCCTCCCCGCCCGCGCGGCTCCGCGAGGGTGCGGCGGGGCGGGGCCTCCGGGACCGCGCTCGCCCCCGCCGGGTCCCGGGGCGCCCGGCCCGCCCTCCTCCGCGCAGACGATCCTCGCCTCCGGAGCTCGGCGGCCGCGGCGGGGGCCGGGCTAGGACGGGGCTGGCCAGGAGCCCCCTCTGCGGCGTCTGGAGCCGCTGGTCCCGGGAGCACTGCGTCCGCCCCGGCGGCTTCTGCGGGCGCTCGCGGCCATGCAGCCCGGGAGCAGGCGACGCGCCCCGGACCGCTGCTGAGCCGGCGGGGCCTCGGGGACCCGCGCCAGCCGAGCCCCTCCCGCCGAGCCCCGGGCCGCCGCGCGCCGCCCCGCACCCGGTCTTCGCCCGCAGCCCGGCCGGCACCACCCCCCGCGGGCCGCAGGGGCTCATGCAGCCGCCAAGGTAAGCGCGGGCCGCGACTCGTTCTGCCCCGGTCGGAGCTCAGCCGCGCCTGGGTCGCCGTGGCCTTTGGCGGCAGCAAAGTTTGGTGGCTGAGCGTCTGTCTGCTCTTTCCTCCCTGAACTGCTCTGCGCCGCAGCCCCTCTCCCAGCGGACAGTCGACCGCTCCCCCCCCCCCCCAGCCGCGGACCGGGCCGGCCTCCCCGCGTCCCGCCGAGAAGCCCCCTGGGTCCGCGTCGCCCGGGCATCTGGCTCCCCGGGGCGCGGGGTTTCGGGGCCACGAGGCGAGCGCCTGCCCGGGGGCGTGGGCGCGGGGCACGTTCCCGGCACCGGATCAGGTCCAAGCGCCTCGAGTGCGGACGCGCGGGACTTCGGGGCAGCGTGGAGCTAGGGGTGCGGCTCCCCGGGGTCCCCGGCGGGCGCGGCGTGCAGGGCACCACCGGAGCTCGGCTCCTGGTTTACGCCCCGGCTCATCCCGGGGTATAAACTAGGGTACGGGGACAGGTGTATTTAGGGGGAAGGCGCCTGTGAAGCGCTCTAGGATGCAACTCTTGATTGCATCTTATTAATTGTAATTGCATTAGATTTGCTCGGAGGTAGAATCAATTTCCCCAAATTGGGATTTTTAATGGGAGCCTGTGAGCTGCTATTATGCGGTTTCGGTAGGCGTTGGATTGTATTTGTTTTATAAATTGGGTGTCTTGCGGACGGATTGGGGGGGAGATAGCGCCATCTAGCGGACGTGGTGAGCCGTGCCTTTCAGGCAGCAAACTTGGGGCGCTCTCAGATTCCTGCGCCAGGTGAAGAGGCGGGAGCAACCCTCACGTCTGGGCAAGACTAATTCTGGGTGTCCTTGTGGTCCCCCGGAGCCGAGCGCCGCGCCTCCCTGAGCTCAGCACGCCTAGCTCAAGAGACGGAAGTGCAGGTTGTACGGAGTGGCAGGCTGTCACTTCGAAGACCTCTATCATTTTCTCCACCTGGTTTTAGGCTCCCCGTTTATAAGGTAAAATGTTACCTGCCTTGAGGAGATGCCCCTTCCCCTGGCATCTGTCGCAGAGATCTGGAAATCCTGTGCGGGACCTTGCTTTCCTGCGGTGCATCACAGGTGGCTTTTCTGGCGGCTCTTGAGCCAGGGCCCCCTGGATAGGGATTGGGGTGAGGGGAAGGAGAAGCGGGAGAGGGCTTGTGCCTGCTCCTGCACCGGGCAGTGTGTCCCAGGCCGCATTTTTGCCCATATAAATTGGGGGGAGGGGTGCTGCTGCTGCGCTGCCACGGCAGGTGACAAGAAGCCCCCTTGCCGGACACGGACAAGGTCTCGCATTAAGAACTAGGGTAGACCCCGCTAGGTGGCACCCAGGCTGCACAAAGGCGCTGGGTGGGGCACCTACACCTTCGCGGGCTCCGTGTTCTGCGTGGGAGGTTTGTGCTGCCACCTTCCAGGCCAGATGATGTTAGCGATGAGCTGGGTTCTCCCTGTTCCGCAGGGCGGGGAGCACTGTGGTTTTCTCTTGTGAGACGATGCCCCCCTCCCCCAGCTCCTCTGGACTGTGGTGGAAATGAGGGAGGCCCAGGCTCCTTTGTTCAAGACCCCGGCTCCTATCGATTCCCTCCCGGGTGACAGACAGGTGCATAGGCTCCCAATACACATGTGAGGTTGGTTGTCTCCCCTCCCCATGCCGTCTCCAGCTGTCTCTCCGGGCATAGGTGTGGGGCGGGCCTCTTCCTGATGCTGCCCCACCCGCGTGTGTAACAGCGCCAAGGAAGGTGGAGACTCCTGTTCAGCAGGATCCCTTGTGGGAGCCCCACCGGCCTCCTAGAGGAGCAATACAAAAGGAACAGACCCTGAGCACCCTCCGCTGGGACAGGGGCGTCCTCAGCACCCCGGGAGCCGTGCTCGCTGCCCCTAGGACAGGGCCCTGGACACAGGCATTTCCAGTTCTGGTGGCCAGGGTTCTGTGAGCCTGCAGGACGTTTTTCCTCTTCGGCCTTGCTGAATGAGTTAAGTTTAAGCCCTTGCTTTCAGCAAGTGTGGCTACAAAGTTTGATCGTGCCTAAGGCGCAGCCTTGGAGACTGGGAAGGAGATGTGGTCTCTGGTTCCCCGAGGAGTCTGCCATCCAGAGAGTGAAATTGAACAAAATCGAGACAGCCCGAGCAGGTTACTTGGAATCTGGTAATGCCATGAAATGAAGTGAGCGCTGCCCTTTAAAGGTAATTGTTCAAAACAAAACTTCTAAGTGTCTGAGGTGGGGGTCCTTAAGGGGACCACTTTGCTTTTCAAACGATATTCAGTCATTCAATAAAATAACAGCACAAGTTTAACTTGAAGAAGAGAGGCCTCCCTACATCTCTGATATTCTCACCCCTTCCCCCAAGCTGGTTCCCCACCTCCCCAAGCTGGGAGCACCTAGAGCCTCATGCACGCTAGGTGAGCACTTACTACTGAGCTACATCCCTGGCCTTTTTTTTTTTTTTTTTCTTGTTTGACCTCTATAAACACTCGATATCAGCCTCCTTTCTTATAGCAACAGCTGAAAAGGAACAATGAATAGTAGAGGCAGTGGAGGAAATTAAGGACTGGCTTGCCGTAGCATTCAGTTTCCTTGGTGACAAATGAATCCTTTAGAAAGGATGCGCAGTTTCTTAGCCAGGTCTGTCCTATGAGTAGAAAACGCTGCATCCTGTTAGAACTCGGGGCTCAGCAGGCAAAAATGTCTACTGTGGTGTACAACTTTATAACTCTAAGGGCAGAAAGAAAAAATTTTTGAAATTTGGGCAAAAATTGACAAGATAAATGCAAATCGCTTTTTATTGGCACATTTTTAAGTCATTGCTAATTCACGAACCTAAAAATGCACCACAAACCTGTTCAATTTATGAAATTTATGATATCCAGATTACTACAGTAAAGAATGAAAGTGCAGACAGCACAGTTTATGAGTGATTACAAAATTGCTGGCTGGATTTACTTCTCATTTTGCAGTTGTCCGTTTAAAGCAAAGCTGACAAATGCAAAACTTTCTGCAATCGAGGTACTACATCTACCAGTCCGAAAAGCAGGCAAAAACCTTGAAAACAAAGAATTCTACTGATTTTCCGGTAAAACAAGACCAATTCCCGGAATTGTGTCCCCTGTCGGCCAAAGCAGAGATCTGCAGATATGAGTAAAAATGCCCTAAAATGTATTGACTTCTGACTCATTGGGGCTTTTTAGTATTTCAGATCTATTGTGGCTTCTCAAGATCTTTGTAGCAGCTTGCTGTGGCTGACAGCAACGATTTGTCCTGTCATCTGACAATCCATCCTTCTAAATAAAGCTATTCTGCCCAAATCCTCAGTGAGAACTGCAGCACCATTACTTTATTCCGCCACTGGCTTGGCTTCCTCAGGGTGGAGGCAGACAGTTTTTCATCTTCTGTAGGCATTTTGAAGAATTTTCTCTTTGATGATATATGATATCTTTAAACAATATCTCATGGAAACATACTGACATAGAGACACTTTGGATGGGCCTCTAAACGTCCTCCGACATGTTATACAGTCATCAGCCACAGTGCAAGCTACTTGGAATTCACTCTCCTGCTACACTTTTACACACTTCCCAGCTGACTTTATACACAATCCCTGTAGATTGTCTCCAGATCTGTTTGTGTAAGTTGCTTTCACTAAGCTTGATTCTCTTAAAGTCGGATCTGTTTGACCTTGTGGTTTAATTTCCTTTGCAGGGTAACCATTTTACCTGTTAGGGCAAAGTCCATGCCATCTCAGTGACTTAGGAATTGGCTTCCAGGATCTGTTTTCAGCTCCTGACATTGCCATCCTGAAAAACAGATCACTCCACCAAAAACATCTCCAACAGACCCTGGCTTCTTCCATGTGTGGGTTTATCTGATTGTCAGAAGAACACACACAAATGTGTGTTCCATTTACAGGAGCATAAAAATTACAGGGTTTCCTCAAAAATAATTGGTACCTGGAAGAGAAGAATAATTAGTATTTGGAAGTTTTGGTGGATGATGTGCTGTCACTGAATATCCTTGGAGGTGGGAGGAAGTAGGGTATAAATAATAAATAGATGTGTAAATGCAGTTGAATTTTCTCAAATGGACATCCTCTTACACAAGAGAGGCAAAGCAGAAAGAGATGCAGCCTGGACAATGCCTCTCCTGCACATGCTACAGGAATCACGGGGAGATTGGTCACAGGCGCAGCCCTGCTGGTAACCCCACACTGCTACATTTGGGCAGCTCGTGTTGCCACGCACATGAGCTTCGTAAGACTTTAACTGACTTGGTCATGCATCCATCAGTGCAGCTAACTAGTTTGACATTCAGGTTCCAAACTACTGATTTCAAAAGGCTTCCCTTGCTGTTGATCTCAAGACCGTGTGGCAGAGCAGATTACAGGCCACCTCCTCCACATTGTGAGAGTTTTATGTCACTTTCTTTTTTCTCTGCTGGGAGCATCTTGAGAAAGGAGCTCCCTAAACTCCAAGCTCTGATTTCTCTAAACTCTTGATTTCTTCATGACCAAATGGATGCTCTTGGCAGAGTCTACTGACTCGGAGCCTGGTAGGGAACATACTGACCCCAGAGCCTGAGTTGAGAATCCAGAAGAACAAGGAAAAGCGAAGCATCTGGCTTAATATTTGATTTTGGGGGTGGTGGCACATGCCTGTAATCCCACTTATTCAGGAGGCTGAGGCAGGAGGATCCCAAGTTCCAGCTTGGGCAACTTAGCAAGACTCTGTCTCAGAATAAAAAAGAGCTGGACATATGGTTCAGTGGTAATTGTGAGACTCTGGGTTCAATCCCCAGTAACTGTACACACACACACACACACACACACACACACACAAATTAAGACATCCTCTGAGTGACTTGTGAACTAAAAAGACTATAATAAAATGATAAAATAGATAGATTTACTTAAAAGTTTTTCTGTTGCATAATACTTAGCCAAGGAAAGTACTCTATGAATATTTGACAAAAAAAAAAAAAACTTG